GCTTAGTCCCGGGAGATTCAGCAATCCTTTGGGGGGGGGGGGGGGGGGGGGGCACATCTCGCATCGGTGACGACGGCGACGATGCAATCAACAGGAACACTGGCGGGCGGGTCTCTTGACACTCACGTCAGAGTTCCTTCCCAGGTGTGCTCGTCGCAGAGATCGTAAACGCCGTCCCAAAAGAGGATCGACCCCACGATCGCTAGGAGGCTCTGCATCCGGAAACAAGCGCGAGCAAGATAAGAGGAGATGGGGATGATTCGTGAGCCTGCTGTCTTTTTTTCTCCATCGGTGGCGTTTCCAGTTTCAAACCCCTCGACGTTCACAACTATGCATGCTGCTGCCTAGGTTGTTGTCGTAGTCGTCGTTGTTGCTTCGAAAGTCTTGGCGCCAGAGCTCGCCAACAAAGCCGTTCGGTACTGAGTCCTACAAACGTCGGTGACTAAGGAGTTTCCGTACGAAGGCCTCGCTGACTCAGATGCAATCACGGCGGACCCCGATCACAAAAGCAGAGTCCACTTGCTTCTAGAAGAGAACAACTATGATTCGCCTCCAACGAACAACACTTCCAACTCATGTCGACGACGTGTTTACCAACAGCGACTCGAATAAACATGCGCCCGCTGTCCGGGTCGTCTATGTCAACACGTACGTGAGGCAGACGTAAGTCAGCGCGCCGTGACAAGGATGATCTTCCGGAGTCCGACTCTTGTCGTACCTCGACGACCTTGATGGTTTCGCGAATCTCACGTGTCTGGGGATTAAGCTATTTCCCTTCGTTTCGACCCCCGTTCACCGTGCTACGAATTCACCAGTCCGTACTCCTGGAATACCTCACAGGTCTCAAATCCATCAACAGTCTCCTCCAAATTTGAGGGGATAGAAAAGAAAAAACAAATAGACCAAGACCAGTCCGCTGCTACTCTTGCGCTTTCGCGCGGGAATTAAATAGCATCGTCGAACCGCGGTGCGCCTGCTTGTTTCATTAGGGCAAAAACAGAGGGAACAGGGTGTCACTCTTATCGCACGCCCTACCCTGGCGTAGAACTTGGCTTCGTCGCGCCAGCGGAGCCTGCCCTGAACCAGTAGCGAGCCCATCTCGGATAGCGAGCCCTCCTGGTCCAAAGAATCCATGCCTTCCGAGGGTTCGTGTACACACGCGTATCGTTAGGGGCCACAGCAGCTGCTACCAATTGAAGAAAGTTGGTGGAGGGTGTAACCACAAAGACTACGTGTTCTCCGTCGACTTCAATGGCAAGACTGTGGCGGACCTTGTCGATCTTGTGCGACTCTGATGTGTGCCAAAGCGTTCGGGGAACAGGTTCCACCAACGAACCGTAGCACATACTGAGAGAACGCACACATTTCTTCTTGGGTTGCATTGCAACCGCCAGGCCGCCGACGAGGAGAAACAGGATACGGTACGACGGCGCATCAACATGACAAGGGTAGCCCACGACCGGCGGCAGATACTGTACGAGTAGCATTGCAGTAGAAGAGTAGAGCATAGAAATCCATCTGCGCAGCAGGTCAAACGAAGAGGAGGTACTGGAGGAAGGCCTGAGGCATAGCCCATGTCAAGACAACAGCCAACAACAACATCGGTGCACCCAAGCCGAACTGCCTGATGGGTTTCTCGTTCCTTCCGCCGAATTCTCACATCCACGAGGGGTATTCCCAACCTGTGGGGGCAAGTGAAAGTACGTGTGCGCGTGCCAACGATCGCTAAGGTAGAGATATTTTGGCAATCTCTAACATCACCACGGACACCCTCTCGGTTAGGAGCACGAATTGTCTCCCCATTGGGTGGCCATCATACTGAGTACCCGTGTCCAATAATCAACACATATCAACAAGTCGGGTGAAAACTCGGCACCTGCGTTCGAAAAAAAGGTTCTGGTCCAGACCATGATCCAAGCGCCAGCCACCGCCAGGCCTAGCTCTTTCCACAACCCCGTCCCGCCAGGAACGTGCCTATCGAGCAGGGTCCAGACCCCCTGCATTGGACATTTCACCATCCCACGGGGTCCAAAGAGACAAAGGAACGATGGTTGAAGGGTACGAATTGTCCTGCATGCTCCATACACCTGTGCATCGTCAGGCCTGCGACGGCGGCGATATAAACCTCGTTAACTTTCTCATATCCCGTACGTTAAGCCAGGGTAGGCGTATCGGATTGCGATTATCTAGGACTTCCGCCGGCCAAGCAGGCGTGAACGAGGTGTTGCGCCAAAGCGCAAGAATCCCGGAGAAGCTCCGCAAGGCATGCCCCTGGTTACCTCGGCCCCGCATGCCCTATTGTAAGAGTATCCAGGTGATCACACAGGAGAAGAAACACAGCGCCTTGGCACCGCATCGCGACTGAAATGCGTCCTCCGAGCGATCGTGCTTTCGAAAAAACGAAGCAAACAAGGAGGATCACGCTACCGTTGAAGAGTTACGGTGGCGTGATATAGGACCGGGCCATCCTGGCACCGCACGCCTTTAGCCCAACGTTCGCATGAAAAAAACTCAGGGAGCAGAGACGTCCAAAGTAGCGGCGGAGGGTAGACATACGGATGTAGAGATTCTAATGCATAGACAACCAAATGACCAACGGTGGGGTCAAGCGCCTAGAGTAGTACAAGGGCGTCCGAAGACGACGAACGACCAGGCGACGGCGGCGCGATCCACCAAGACGGCCCAACCCAATGCAAAACAACCACCCAGCTCAACCAAAAACAACCCAAAAACGGGCTTGACTCCAACCGAACGTCATTTGTAAATGAAACTGCAGCAGGAGACCAGCATACTTCCAAGACCCGACCCAGTCTGAACGCACGCCCGTGTTATGGAAAATGTATGTGTTTCCTAAAAGGGGTACAAAAGCGCACTTGTACAATACAACCCACACACCAACTCCAAAAAGCACTCTAGTACAACGGCTTACGTTCGACCCTGTCGAGCCGACATGTAGCGGTGACACGTAGGAGCCAAAATGAGAGACTGCTGCTATACTGTTGCACCCGACTACGGTGTGTCAAGAGTCGTCCGAGACAGGAGGAAATCTCCGTAGAGGGTCGCTGGCGCCCAAAGAGGAGGTCGCGTCGGTCGGTCGACGGTGACCTCCCAGTCCAGCCGGGATTCCCACCAAGCGTAAGCTCGCAGCTTTGCAGCGGTGGTTTGGCAGGAGACCCAGCAACCTCTTCCTGTTCCCTCGCGCCTATGTAGGACCCGTCGTAGCCTGCGGCATTCCACCGCATCGGTGACGACGCGGGGTGCCGGACCTCAAGAGGAAGCCGGGAGACCGGGGTCATTCCACCCGTGGTTTCGGCACACTCTCCAGCTCTGGGCCACGACGGTTTGAAGGAGGGGGCCACCCAGGCGCCACCTTCGCGTGCACAGGTGGGCCCCGAGGGTGTCGACGCCGAGGTTGAACATTGCCGTGGATCCCACGCGATCCACCGCGCTTGCGCGGAAGCGCCGCACACGGGAGGTAGGCGATGCTGCCGTCGTGCAGCGCAGACATCATGCCAACATATCACCCCTACAAGGAGGCCTTCCGGGAAACAGCAGGTCTACTCCTGCCCGCCAGATCGAGGAAAAATGACGTTGGTGGCACATTCTGGGAGGGGAGATCAACGACTTCGGAGATGTGCGTGCGCCGCTGGGCTGAGAACGCATCCGCTGCTGTGGACACCCTCCCGCACCTCGGATACGATGGTTATCCCGCTCTCCACTCGGGAGCACGGGGCGACCGCCGTGCTCCACCTCGGCTCTGAAATCTCGGGCCCGCCTGTGAACCGCGGCGTTCCCACCGGATAACAACCATCGCTTCCGCTGCGTCCGTAGCCCTCAACGGCCTACACCTCCGGACTTAGCAGCGCGGGTTTTGACAACACGGTGGAAGAGCTCGACGCAAGGGACGGTGGCGAAAGGCGGCCACCTCGCCGGGAGAGAACATGTCATGCGAGGTGCGAGAGGACGTCCGTAACAAGGAAGCCGTTCTTGGCCATACGGTGTGTGTACATCTCTTTTGACTCGTTTCGTTCTCCTCCCAGAATGTGCGAGCATTTTCCTGGATCTGGACGGCAGGATTTGGCCTACTTGCACATACTGCAGGTATGCCCCTTGAACCAACATGATGTCTGTGCAGTTTAAAAACTGCATGATCACAGAATCGTCCACCTCCCGTTTGCGGTGCCGTTTTCATTGTTCCGCGCAAGCGCGGTGGATCGTGCGGGATCCACCACCACAAGGCAGGCGAGCTGAAACAGCTCTCTACATACGCTGGTTTGCTGCGAACAGCGGACAGAATGCAGGACTCCGCCAACAAGAACACAAAAAAAGACCTCGTTGTTTTGTGTGCCTGCGGTAGTTGTATCGCCACCTCTGCACGCTCACTGCGCCACAACCGCGCCCGGACTGGGGACGAGACCCGACGAACAGCAGCTTATGTGCCTTGTCTTCCCTTCGCGCGAAAGAATCGTGGGCGAAAACAACCCACAGCGCTTTCGAATTTGTGTACCGGAACGTCCGACAGAGGATGTAGGGGGAGAACAGAGAGGGGGGCCGCCTTTGATTGACTCACCGTCCACAGCATCACGACACCAGGCCACGAAAGCCCTCCACGAAGCACGTCCATGCATGGGCTCCCCCCCGACATCATGCTTCGTTCCCGACATGCACGTGGGTAATCATCACAGCACAACAAAGCCTTGGTCGCTTGTTGGTCGGTGGCAAAGGGGGCACGCGAATCGTAATTGTGAGGCAGGTTCTCTACAATCTCTTCGTGGAGAAAAAGGGTTCTGGAAAATTCTGGGGAAGTCGCCGACAGGCGGACGCGACGCAATCCGCCAAGGCCATGAGTGTGTAATGTGAATCGAGAGGTCACTGAAATAAATGTCGTCGTGCGGCAGAGAGGTTATGGTCGCGGTTGCTTCATGTTACCCACGCATTCGCGCAACATGCAACCTCCTCACGCGCTGATGGATTTCCGAGGGTGCTACGGCATACGTGTAAACTCTATCTACTGTAATTTCTACCGCAAATCACTGCCGATTTGTACTAGTTCTCAACCGGTGATGTGCATGTTCACGCTTCGCTCCGTACAACCATCAATCGCACGAGGGCGTGCTTCACACATACAAAGACTATGCCCCTTGGATCGCATATGTCAGGTCCCTCGCATGTACTGCTGCCGCAAAATACATCAAGCCGTGCTGGACACACCGACTTCTGGAAAGGCATCATCGCAGTGCGAGTGTCCCGTAAACGATAGAGTGCTGGTGACATCACGCAATCAACCCCAGGAAATCCGAAATCCGACATCAAGCAATTTTCACACATGCCCACGGATAGGATATTTCGAGACATCTCCAGTACACTGAAGCGCATACTACCCTCACGAGTTTTCATATGCGTGGTGATTTTCTGCTGTTCATGCTTCTACATCACCACGTGCTCTGTTGGCAGTCTGGCCCAGGCTTCACTTCACGCTCTACCGAACCACGGCAGCACACCAGACTAAATAACGTCTTTCCTTCATCCACACATACGCGTGTCATGAAATGTTGCAACGACTCGCGTGTTTCTTGCGCCCGTACAACATGCGCCTACCTACAATGGCAACACCGTGTAGGTACCATCCACCCCAACAGAGGGAATCAATGGAGACCGTAGATCGCACAACACGTGCTTAGTCACGCAAACTGACTGAGTTTCCACCCCCGAGCGACGTAAGGACTCAACGGTCCTAACTCCCAGTTCCAACTCCAAGCCTCCGCCTGGCACACTAAATAAAGCAGACACATCAGGTCTCTCACTTGTGATTCCGACATCTAACTACTGTAAACCAAGCGCGAACCCTACGGCCCTTCGTGGAGCATCTCATCCCGAACACCTCGCTCGGGCTAAACTCGTTGGGTGGAACACCGCCTTCCTCCTGTGGCTGCCAATTGTTCGACCTTGGCCAAACCCTACGCTATAGCAAAGCATTTCGAACGTCAACAAGCTGGCTATAGCTCCGATGCACTAGTTTTTCGAACCTCCCTTCTTCCAGCGACGGTTTCCAACGGGGTGCTTCCGTTCCTTTTTCTTGTCCCCACCCTTTGTGCATCGAATGATGCGGTGCATGGGGTTGTGGCGCCATTTTTGGAACAGATCTTGTTTGTCCAGAACGCCTCTTCTTCGGAACTGTCATCTCCATGCGACCGTCCCTATTTCTTTTGGCCACACCTCTACCCCGGCATTGCCGAAACTTAACGTGTTGGTCGAGAGTGTGCCGTCAAGAACTGGGACGTGTAGTCCAGGTCAGATGTCTCGTCGTAAGTTTTGGTAATATGGGATCACAAGTGTACGCGACAGCGACGTCGTGTGCCGTTGTGTTTCACCGTGACCTGCTAATGGATATGTTAAAGCCTTGACTGCTTCCTGGCAGGCATGCATTTTCACCGGCAGCAGGCGATGCCGTTCTTGTTCATGCCAATGATCCCTTCGAAAACGTTCACTCATCAAAGCACACAGGAAAACAGCGGCAACAATAGTACGCACAAGCACAGACGCCGCGGGCAGGCAACCAAAACAAGCACGGCAAACGGTCCTCGAACTTCGGCATAATGTCAAACTGGTTCTTGGTTGCACGAAATTCGGTCCTGTATGTACGCGTTCGTATAGGCTCAACCTCAAAATCATCTGCTTCTTTTTTCCTTCTGCCCCAACAACACCACCGCGACCATCATGACCACCATCCCCCATACAATGATGGTTCTTGCACTACGAGCTAAGCGAAAGGTGGGTACCCACTACCCGTCCGGGCAGCAACGCAAGTATTCCGTGGTGGCATCCCCCCCATTCCACACGCTACCAACTTCTCTCGTAGATAAGCCATCGAGTAGAAATGATGTTCGGTTTCAAAACGAAACCCGACGGGGGCTTTTGCTCTGTAAAATGGTGTAAGAACGAATCGATCCCGTTCACTTGAGTTTGCTATCATTTGCGGGATCCCCAACACCAATCACGGCGAAGGTACTCTCAAGCGCTGGATTCTATTCGGGCAGTATGCTCTGGGCCCATAGAGGTAGAGAAAACGACTGAAGTTCGGAGCACCTACCAGAAGTGAGTTAGTGCAGGAGTGGCTCAGGGTCTTTTATGCAAAGCTTGATGTCCGGGTACGGACCCCCCCTCGGCGGGAAGCGTCTGCGCCGATGGCATCCCAGGACAATGGTAGCGATGCAGTCCTCTGGTCCACACGTGGCAAGCTGGAGTCACTCACAAGCATGAAGGGGTCCAAGTAGCGTCAAGGGGGGCACCAAGCGTCCCGTCGAAAAACTACCATTGGTCTCCGGTCTAAGGACAATGAGGATTCAGCAACAAGACCAGTATTTGTTCTCCCACAGGATAGACCCCCAGTCTTCAGAGTCGCGCACGATGCGGCCGGGAAGCTTCCAATGAGATATTAGCAACAAGACCAGTATTTGTTCTCCCACAAGTTAGATCTCCAGTCTTCGGAGTCGCGAACGATGCGGCCGGGGAGCTTCCAGAGCCTTGGCCTCCAGGCTGGGGAGGAGGGGTTTCGAAATACGGAGGCCGGGCAGGACCGGGAACGGGATATTAGCAGGCAGCTGACAAAAGGCAGAGGATGATCCACCATTTGAGCCTTGCTTGCTCTTTTATGTCGGGGGTTGCGGGACGAGCGACTGGCACGCCGGTGTGGTGGTTGGTGGATGGGATTACTGCACGAGACAGGCTTGGTGCATGTGCACGAAAATGCTTTCGTGAGGTGCTTGCATCAGCAGAGAGAGTGGCTTACCTACACATGACGACGCTTGCGGTCGGACATCGGTGGTCCGGGGTTAGGCATGGTGCCAGCCCGGAGGCATTGCCGCTCACAACGCGTGCACGTACCACGATCTGGGCACAAGATAGCACACCCACGGAACTCCCCCAAATCCTATCGGGAATGGTACCACAAATGCACGAGGACAACGACTTCTCTCCAAAACGTTTAGGCGTGCAAAATAAAATACCTGCAACTGTTGCTGCGCGCCCGGTACTTAGCAACCATCCCCCGCGTACACGAAAGTCATCACGGCTGCAACAGAACCCCCGCAGGTTGCCCAGAAGCCCCTCGCTGAACGGCAGGTCGAACTCTCTTGTTCCCTGAAAACAGACGCGCGGATGACGACACACACTTGGTTGTTGAATATACTGTGTCTACGAGGAAAAAAGGTAGTCCAGAGGAGGGAAGGGGGGTGAGAGAAGGGGGCGAACAGCGCGGAAGGTAATACTTGTATCGTTTGATGGCGTTGACGTCGTACGTCACGAGAGTTGGCCGTATTCGTGCCTGAAGGCAGCTACATAGTCTTGAACGGCAGTTTTCTTGTGGCCAATAAAATATATTGCCGTCTAAGGTCTGAGGCGCATCGCCTGAGAGAGCACCTCGCTCCACGCGGCTGGGTGACATCTCAAAACTGGTCGAGCTGCCGCGACAATCTCCTTAACCCATAGGTTTCACCGAGATTGCCCGTGCTGCCCTCGATGAACCTTGTCGGCCACAACATTCGGTCCTGCCGGCGTAAACACTTTGACAGGCGAAGGAAAACACCCCCCGCGGTCCACACCGAGTACCTCCAAATACTCCAACGAGTCTGAGCCCCTGCCTCCCCCTCTTAGGCACTCGTAGCTCGTCAAGCTTGAGGTCGCCATCCAGCTGTGGGTCACCAGGAGCACGACGGCCAACGCAAAGCACGGCCACAGGCAACAGGAGGACGCCAGAGCCAAGGAATTCCTTGACGCCCAGCTGCCCTCAGCGGTTCTCGTCGCCGTCGGTGTTGTCGCCCCTGCTGCAACTCAGGCCAAGAAAAAGCCCGAACCGTCACACGTAAAACGTTCCCGAAAAGGTATGGGCCTGTTTAGTCGGCAGCGGGTTCGCGCGGTCGACGCCAACAGCAACATTACGCACACGTACGTAATAACGAGGAATCGGGGTCTCAAGCGCTGAAACCATATCTTCCTACTTGGGGCTAATTTTAGTAGCTAACTGAGCTTTGCCTAGGCTACGTTCATTGGTCAGTCATAGGACGACGACACAGCACTAGTTTAGTGCCAGCCAATTTCACCGGCAAGGATTATGCCTGTGGCACGTAGCTTTTGCTCACACCGCGAACTACGAGCCCGCCACCTTCCACGTTTATAATGTTTTGGTTTGGTTTGTGGAAGGTACAAGGGAGGCAAAACAGGTCCCGCGTATTCAAGCATCCAAGCGGGCACCCGGCACAAGTCAGAGCGTGACACTACGAGATTGACCAATAGCGCGTAACGCGATTCAACCGGGACTTTAGAGGGGCCCATCTAGGCACTACTCAACCGGCGGCGCTGCTGAGGGTCTCCCACCATACCGCGTTCCATCTCGGTGTTTACCCATAATACCAAAAAAATTATAAAAGTGCAGTTCCGGCTCCGCAACGACGAACCTTCACCCACTGCTGGCGAAAAAGTAAAAGAAAAGCGGTCGCCGTCATCAGAGAAGCCGGACATGGTTATTCGAATCGCCTCCGCCAGGGACACCGTCTGCGCCAGCAAGAACCTGCAACACGGCCCCGCCGATAACGAGAAAGGCGCCGACGCTCCGTGGGTATGCGGTTGATGTAGACGTGGGGGCGCTTCTAGTCGGGAGGTTGCCGCCTAGATGATGTAGCTACGATTCGAAAACCGTTGATACTCTTTTGTATCGGACCCAGACAGAAGTGGTCCTACTGCTGCTGTTGTTGTTTTCTTCGGCAGCGTGTTTCTGACAGCAGTCGCACCTTGTCACGGGTTTCCCTCCATCGAACTTGTACCTTTTTCAGTGCCCGGGTCGCTACCATGGGTAGATGTTCACGGTCAGAAAATCGTGACTCGAGGACTCACAATTTTGACAGCGACACCGACAGTAGCAGCACATGCAGCGGCAGCAACAGCGACAACCACAACAACAACAACAACGACAACAACCACTCTTGCTGCGCGCCTCTCACCACCAGAAGCGGCAGTGGTTCCTCTCCCCGATGCACGTCCCGATAATCTTGCAGTGGTGGTCAAACGTCGCCACGCACCGTCCGCATTCCCGGCAGTGGTGGGACCGCAGGGGCACCTGGACAACAACAAGAAAAGCGAGAAAGGAAGAACCAACTAGAGTTTTCTCCAAATGTCCGGCACGTGACATCACCGCCTGTTTCCCCTGACTCCTCACACTTGGAAGACATAGAAATGCTTGGTTCGCGGTGTCGTGTTTGGGACCAAAAAGTGTGACGACGTTACACAAAACACGAAGAAGGCAGGCGTCGGAGAACCGTCAACGGAGAACAGAAGGGCAAAATACCACACACCAACGCGCTGGGCGTGACGTGAGTGCTGTCCCTACGGGCATGCGATTCGCACTGACACGCCCGTTTGCGCCAATTACTTGTCCGGACATGCTTCCAATACACAGTCAACCTCCACCGGTTGATGCCCTAGACGGCAAGGATCCCTGCTAACGACAAGTGATTGTCCCTCGTCAGTCGTGCGACGCCAAAACCGACAACGAGCGAGCGTTGCACGAAACGTGTCGCGAGCGTCAAGCAAGAACCTTGGAGGTTCAAGATAGCAGGACGAACGACATCAAAATAACCCGGCATGCGCAATTTCCCGGCTGTTGTCCCCTCCAAAAGAAACACGTATGTCAAACCTACACGGTGGCCGCTCCAGCCCTTCAAGGGAACAAGGCCCCCGAGCTTCGAATAGAGAACCTTGTGGAGATGCCTGTACTACTCGATTGTACTGAATAGTACTCTTAACAGCAAACCGCCCGTAGCGCAATCTGGGACGGCTCGCCATTTCTGAATGTCTTCCGTTGCACACGCCACCCGAAAACCCTTCATCTCCGTCTGGGAAGCCCATACCGGAGACCTATGCAGCGAATTTCTCGCCCGTGCATACTCCAGCGATTTGAGTCAGCAACGTCTGCCAGCCATGCGGTCAACACGCGTTGCCATTCCAAGCTCGTGCTTCATACAGATACAGCGTGTACGTTCCCACTCCTTACAGTATCGTTTTATGGACTACTGTACCCCGTCCCTCGAAATCGAGAGACCGGCCAAACCACAGAGGCCGCTCTGCTGCTTGCCGGCAGTTGATCGCCTCAGATATCCAAACATGACCCTCGATATCACCCCGCTTCCCGTGAGACGATAGTTGGTGCTCCATTGCTCTGCGACGGGAAACAGAAGGATTCATTTCCCAGGGGCGGCGAGATTCTAGCGCTGGCCAGGGAAAGCATGAAGGACGTTGTCGTCGTCGTGGAGGGGTAAAGGTTAAAGCATCTGCCCTAGGGGGGAGTGAGGAGGAAAAAGGGCAGAAAAACTGTCCTAGGGGGGGAGGGGGGGTGATGACTAGGCGGTGAGTCTTTTCGGCCACCTTCATGTCTTGACAACGCCGACATCGGACAAAGTCAGGCCTTGTCAACGAGCCTTCGAAACCGCCGACAACGCTTGGGGTGTTGATGATGCTGCTCTTGTCGTTGCCCTCCGTAGGCTGGCCCTCTTCGACTGGCTTCTTCGGAGCGTGGTCGCTGCTTGTGATGGTACTAGTCAACAGTCTTGCCTCGCCGGACTGTTCTCCTTTTTCTTCGTCGTGAGGATGGCTGTGGTGTTGAACTTCTGTGCGACCGTGAACATAATGAGGCGGGGTACGGGACGTGGGGCGGGGCAGGGGATAAAGAACGGAGAAACAAAAAAATTGGAGCGGCGTCGGGTCAGGACAACGTCTACCGATACACCGGAACAGGCAGCGTTTCAACAGACGATCGGGCGTGGCCTATAAGTTGACATCACCAGAGACCGCACCGTTCCGGAAAGAACGGGAACAAGAACAGAGGCCACACAATGCAGGCGGCACTGAATATTTCTAGAAGATTGGCGGGAAAATCACTGCACGAGGGGCGAACGGGCAATACATCGAAGAAGACAAGGAGGCGCCCCCAATACTCCCAATATTTTCGCATCAAGCACGGGCAGAAAGGTGGATTTTGAGGTCCTCGGGGAGAAGGATGGGTGGGAGATCCCCAGGGGGAGGAAGGAGCCACCGTGTCTGTGAGATCCCCGATCGGGATTCCATGTAGTGAATGAAGCATACAAAACCATGAGGTACGGGTAGAACAAACTGCGACGGTCCAAGAAACGCACGGGGCGACTGAAAATGGCAAAACGGCATTGGTTCCAATCATTCTGCCCCCTTGAGCTCACGAGAAGGACGGATAGCTACACCCGGGCGGACGCTCGTTGCGAAGCGGTGGGGCATCGTGCATGTCCCCACGACGCATAGGACGGGACGGCGGGAATGCCGCATTGTGACAAACAAAAAAACGAACAGGAGGCGAACAGCTTCCGTTTCGAGACGCCAGGCCTCCGAAGGGACGGACAACCGAACAAGCATGACTAACTCTCGCATACCAGGTGTTGCAGTCAAACACGTTGTTTCCTCCTCTGCCTCGGTGCCGCTATCGCCAACCCAGTCTCTTTGCACGGAAAGGTAGCCTGGGTTGGATCCCTTCGACGACCGATGGCGGGGGGCGGGGGCGGGGGGGGGGGGGCAGCGGCTCGTAGTAAACCGTGATATTGCGTCGAACGTGACTGTCCGACAGCCAATGGATGTACCTATGTGCGATGTGTTCATGCTACATCAGTGTGTGTGTTTTTCTTTTTTATCTTCACTTCAAATCAGCGCTCACAGCACTAGTGTGATACATGAATGAATTTTCCACGATCTTCCACTTCGTAAGGGCGTTCTCCTCCACGGCAGGGACCGGTATTTGGACAATGTTCGACCCGCTGGGCCACTATCTACCGCACATTCAACCGTCGTGATGCAGGCCTTCTTAACGTTGGATGGGCCTTATCTCACTCCCGTAAACGCTGGATGCGCCTTAACTCCCGGTGAAGACGAGATACGTCTTGCATGTTTTGTACAGGAAACGTTGCCCGCAAGTACACGACAGGCAAGACGGTTTTTCGGCATTAAAACAACCGATGTGCTGCTGTAGATGGTACCTGCACTGCGAGGAACGCGAGGATCGAGAGCACAACTGCCGCAAGAAACACGGAGAACGCCTCCCCGTCCACAGCTTCGCCAGCTTCTTGGTCCCAGAGGAACGTTCCAGGAATGTTCCCGATGAGCACGACCGCAGCACCGTTCACCGCCAGGTACCCCGACCGATACCTTGCATCGTGGCGACACGGAAGTTTTGTATGCGATGGGGGTAGGGACGAAAATGGGGAGGGGGGTAAATACGTTTTTTTTTTGGCTCAGCAATGTGCCCCCCTTTGGCCGCGTATCCCACAGCAGCCGGAGCACCATGTATCCGTCACGATAACCGCCAACACCCCGGAAAAGTTTTCACCACGTTGATCGTGGTGGAACTTAGCCGTCTTAGTTTCGTTCCCTTGTTCCATTAATGGAGGAGTGGGGAGGGAGGTAAGCGCCGGCCCACTGTATAGAACCAGTTGCCGCTGACCGAAAAAAGTGATCGTCACTTGGCTCAGCATCGATCGAGTCTACGTAGTACGCGAGCATGGGTGCTGGAAGCACCAAGCTTTCCCAGGAGGCCCAGAGCATGCGGCCTCGTTGGTATCTTGTCTCTCTCGGAGGCCTGTAACCCCTGCTAGTAGCCGTTGCAGGAGCTATCGGTTTGTTCTCCGTTTTGCTTTCGTCTTCTCCTAGAAATAAATATACGACGGATTCTCAAACCCGGGTATACTCCAAACTACTGGAACACGATGCACACATCGACAGCAGTACATAGTTGTCGTACACCCGTGACTCAAACAGATAGCGTCAGTGGTGACGAGCTTTGGGTCGCATGTACGCGAAAGGAGAGTGGCAAGAGAACGCCCGCGAAACACTGCCGTAGGTAAGCGAACGTGAGCCGTAACGCGAGGAGCACGAAGTGTAGTCTAGGCGGGGTCGGGAAAAGTTTCCTAAATCCAACTGCAGGTCAGCAGTACCTGGTTCCATTGAGGAGGGAGATTGGGGCTGGGCAGAAAGCGCCACATCGTCGCAGCTCACCAACAAGATGTAGAACAAACTGGTATCGCTTGTAAAAGACGCGCACAGCACGCACACATGTCCATGTGATGGGAAAACGGCGACACGCACTACGCCGACATCCCGATGCCCCGACGGCAAAGATACTATATTTTGTCCGCGCAAGGTGCTACAGCAGTACTGCTGTACTCTGATGTACAGTATTATTTAAAGTACTGCTAGGTATCATGCATGCAGAACAGCACAAAATCCAGGCCGTCATATGAAGACAGGTGAGTCACAGGAACACAAGGGGGTGCCACATAGCAGCACTAGCACCAGCACCAGCTACGTACAGGTAAAGCTGGACCTGCAATCGGCCACTGCTGAACAAGATAGGCCTGGCACCGACGGCTTGTACGAAGTGGTAGACGCCAAAAATCCTCCGCAAACAAACCGAAAGCTCGGGGCAGTACAATATCTTGGTGTCCTACTTGGCACTCACCATTTCCGTACCCGCCTGAGGTGGTTCGGAAAATCTTCAGGAGCCATGGTGACCGTGAAGTGCGTGGCAGGTGGAGCGTGCAGCGTGTAATCGAGGTAGATGGGGCCCAACCCACTGCCCAGTACAGCACCAGCACGGACTTAGTTGGGGGCTCCGGTAATAGATGGGGGGTAGTCAGCATGTCGCTGGAGTCCCCAGATTACGCCGCATTTCCCGAACAATGCTCTCCACAGAGCTTGTAGTTCCCTTCGCCCATCTCCGTCGTGTCTTCTCGCACAAAACGTCTTCAAGGTATGATCTACTTGAAGGCTGAGGTACTGCGTTGTGGTTCTTTTAGTGCCGTTCTGCTGCCGCCGCACGTGAAATCGAATGCGATAGATCGGCGTACATGTACCAGGTACTGTCATTTTGGTTGTGGTTGTGCAGCTGGCGGAGCAGGCGCGTCCTCTGCTGCTGTAGAGAGCCAGCTCGTATGCATAGCCACAGGCACGGCCGATCTCTGTTAGCGATAGTACCACTCGGGTCTTGGATGTTTCCAGGATTGTTCTTGTAGCACATTGTGCGGTCGCTTGAAAGAGAGTGCTACACTGCTATGCGCCCCGCTTGTTTGAATCGAGCCGTTCTTTCACATGTGTCTGAATACTGAACGCACAAACAGAGCGTTCAATGAGCTCGCAAAGAAAATTATCGTGAATGCGTGCTGGAGGTGATACCCGCGTGACGATAGGAAGTTTTTGTTCCTTTCGCAAGAAAAAGCAAGAGTTGTTTTAGGCATTTCGCAAGAATAAGCAAGAGTTGTTTTGGGAGTTTTATTGGGCCCAAGTACCCATGTTGTGTCAATCGGGAGAACCAAGCGTGGCGATAGCCCCCCCCCCCCCGTCGCAGCGATTATCTCTCCCTCCCAGTCGCAGAACAAGCTTGTTAGAAAAGGATCTTCCCCCTCCCATCGTACCCCCGCGTTCGTAAATATTGGTGGATGTTAAGCACGGTCCAAGTGGGAGGCTTTTTGCACGGCAGCGAATAGTGTTTGGCCTGTCTGTATGATGTACATGTCCGTCGGGCAACCCCTTTCGATCAGGAAATACGTGTACGATGCCTACGATATATGGTACATAGTGGGACATCCATGCCGTGAAATTGAAATGCCATGCCGCGAACAGGGACCCACTCGGTCATGGCTGAGTGGGTGCCCTGGTGAACCATTAATACCCCGTCTCTCCTTCCCTGTCGCCGTTGTTTGTTCCCTCGATGCGGCCGTCTGCGTCCTCTCTCGGTGGTGCTCCTCTGTTCGTGCGTGTTGGCGTCCGCTTCCATGGGTTGTCGCCTGTGTCTGTGTTCTTGCTTCTGTTTCGTGATTTTCTTGTCCTGGGTCTGCTGCGTGGGGTCTCTTGTGTGGTTGGTTTGGGTGGTTTCCTGTTGGTGTTTTTTTCGTTGTTGTCGGATGGTGCGTCCGTCGTTGCTGAAACACTGGGTCAACGGGTGCCGCTGTTTCTCCCGAAGATGGGGCGCATGCACAGCGGAGGTAAGGGTATCTCCAAGTCTTCCCTCCCCTACAGGAGGAGCGCACCCTCGTGGCTGAAGGTCTCCGCCCAAGAGGTAACCGAGCACGTGTGCAAGCTGGCCAAAAAGGGTCTCACCCCCTCCCAGGTGAGCTTGTTCTTTCATCCAGCGCGCTGCAGGCAGTCAACCATTGGACTGCGTAGCGTTTTACCCCGCGCTTCCGTGTGACTCAATAGGGTGGAATGTGAACGCGTATGGATGTCGGGTTTTCCACAAGACGTGGACGTTTTGCGTTGGGTACATAAATGGGGTGTTCGATTGTCAGGTCCTTCGCTTCTGGTGTTGTTTGTTGCGCTTGAGCCAGGTTTCCGGACGGTGCTTGCAAGCTCGCCCAAGAATCACCCACCCACCGCGCGCACGCGCTACAGTATTCAGATTGTCTCGAGGTGTTGGGGTCAGAGTACATTATTTACACGTGGTTCCTACACGTGTGGCGTCCCCCCCCCCCCTGCGTTGGTGCTTTGAGTCGTACTGTGGAACATGGTACTGTACCGCGTTCATCGTCGGAGGGATCACGAGCCTTTCGCGCGTCGGTGTGGTGGGACGTTTGCCATAACACAAACTACCCCGCTCTGAACACTCCTTCCTGCTTTTCGACATTTTTCTTGCTCTTCTCCTGTCGTTGCAGATCGGTGTGATCCTTCGTGACTCGAATGGCATCGCCCAGGTCAGTGCCATCACCGGCGCCAAGATCCTCCGGGTCCTCAAGGCTAACGGTGAGGAGAGAGAGTTATTGCTTGCCTTTAACCTCAGGCCCGAAAAGCTACTCCACAACATATCGTGGGAGAAATAGTATTGTGATGGTCACACAATGGTGCTGTGGTATCCTCTCCGACGGTTTGATCAAGGTTACGTCAACCCGGACACCTAATTCCGCCGCATTTTGGTGGGTTCGCGATAAGCGTGTCGGGTGCGGTTACTGTATCGCCGTGCCGTTCACGGATCGCAAGGCCGACCTTGTTTACGCGCTGCGTGTATGCGCCCGTACTGTTTATGCCATGCAACTGCTTACCGCCTGTTGCCCCCGCCCCCGCTCCCCGTTTTCTGCCCTTTGGTTTTGCGGGCCTCGTAGCACCAAAAGCCTCTTCAGTGTGTGTCTTCCGTACACGAAACACCTGGGAATTGTTTGTCGCAACTTAGCTCTCCGTTACCCTCACTGCACACGCGTTGTTGTCCGCTCTCTTTGTTGGCAGGCCTCGCGGCCGAGATCCCCGAAGACCTGTACATGCTCATCAAGAAGGCGGTGGCGGTGCGCAAGCACCTGGAGCGCAACCGCCGCGACAAGGACTCCAAGTTCCGCCTGATCCTCATCGAGTCTCGCATCCACCGCCTGGCTCGTTACTACAGGACGAACAGGAAACTGGCAGCGAACTGGAAGTACCAGTCGGCTTCCGCCAGTGCGCTCGTTGCCTAAAGACCGCTGTGTGATGGCCGAAGAAGTCTCTCGCCTGCAATGGACACTACTGCTGTTGCGCTATTGCGGCAAATGACCGGATGGCATTTAGAAGCCCTGCAGCCAATGTTCTGGGGGTTGTGTTTGCTCTGGTTCTGGAAATAGTGCAAACTCGGCCGCTTGGGATGGAGCATGTACGTGTCTACGATGTGTCAACTGCGGTTGCACTCTCTGAGCTGTTAAGGGGTATTTGCTCTCGTGTTCAGAAGTTGCTTTTCGGAAACCTTGCGGGGCATTTTGTTCTGCCTTTGTTTTTGGTCGGATATAGGCATACGATGTGTGTCCAACGGGTACATGGACTTTGTGCAGAGAAATATCTTCTTAGAGGCGGGAAGCAACGAAGCAAGTGCGAAAGTATACGTGCATGAACAAACGAGGGGTCCAAGGGCAAGTTTTGATGCCGCTCGCCAAAAAAAAATAAAGCCTCTGCGACTGCCAGTACCCAGTTTTTGTTGTCCTTCCACAAAATACACTTGTGGTCGCAGCGAAGTCTCCCTTTTGCACCATGCCGTGTGGTCAACCATCACGTGCCGCGTGAGTTGTGCGGAGGGAGGTGCTGTTCATAAAATCTGAACGGCCAGATTGGGGCTGAAAAATGTGTGTCGTAAAAGAGGATGATGGTGTTCCTGGTGTCACCCCCTGTGTACGGCTGGCTGTGGTCACAGCTTTTGTTTTGCTCCCCATCGCAAGCTCAATCAACCCGGGCCTTTGATGAACGAGTATTTAACATCTGGTGGTGTGTGCGTGTGCGTATGTTGTTTGGTGTTTTCGCCCATCTTTTGTTGGGCGTCAGCAGTCTACACATTTTGGGAACTTGTTGGCGCACCAGCCGGGGGCATACAGGTGGCAAATTACGTGTAGTACCCTGAAATCAATGTTTGTGGTGGGTCGAACTTCTCTGGGGGTGAACGGTCTAAAATTTTCGCGCGTGGCAAGGAAACATGAACGAGAGCTCAGAGGGAGGAGGCACAAATGCGGCCCCATTGCCATTCAGGCAAACACCGCACGGGGAAGGTGGAGAATGGACAAGAACTAGACGTTGACCGGACGTTACTTACTCAACTCAACGATGTATTGGGTTGGTCTCCTGGATAGGGAGTTCAATTTTGTATCCCCTTGCCTTGACGGCAAGGCAACAACGCATTTTTTGCCCACCATAAGAAAAGCATACCCAATCCTCCTGTTTGTCCTTGCCCTCTCTGGGCTGTGCTGATGGGTCATCCTCCTCTCCACCATGCCCCCTCCAAGCGATTCCCGCTCTGTTGCTTCATAAGATGGTCCGGGACAACGCCCAAACGGAACAAGTCGAATCAGCTCTCGCATTGTTGTTGTCTCCACATTAAAAACCGTTCCGATCTCTCTCTACCCAGTACCTTCATATGTCCGTACTGATCCAACACTTGACGCGGTCGATTCCCGTGTTAACAGGCTAACTTACCCTAAAAAGGTACGCTCAAATAAACTGACCCCGAGGGGTCCGCAAGTCAACAGAAATCAACGACAGATATTCTGGAGTCCTCCGCTCCCTCTGCGCGCCATGCGAGGTAACAACTGAGACTAGGAGTCAGCATCACGGGTCAGAGAGAAAGAGGTACACCCCCTTAGTTCAATCTTGGTGCTTCACACGCAAGCAGAGACAAGGCCATCTGACGCAGAAAAAGAGAGAAAAAAGAGCGACAAAGAGAGAATAGAGAAAAAGAGAAAAAAATAAAAGGAAACAGGAAGAAAAGAAAGAAAACGAAAACGAAAACGAAAAAGAAAAAGAGCGAGAACTAAATGAGACCAGGCCGAAAATAACAAGAAATAAGAGACAGAAGAAGGCACACGGTGGAGAGACCACCAACGAATGAACAAGCAAACACGCAAACATGGCGACTAACCAGCGATACACGGTAATGGTACGTCATCACTCGTGGGGGGTCGGTGCAATGGTGCAGCGTTGGGGGGGGGGGATTGGCTAAAAGAAATTCAACCCGGCACGTACCACGCCACTCGGTCCGTCTCTTCTCGTTTACTTTCTTCCCTCGCCGTCTCGTCCGTCTCCTGCCCCCCTCCCGCCCCATTGGTTGTTGGCTTGTGGTCTCGTTTGAGCGCTCGTTGTCGGCTGGCCTCTTCTTCCTTCTTGTGCCAGGAGGTCATGAACCTCTCAGCTCCCTGCAGCACCGCCGCATGCCAGGGTACTCCCCCCTCCACCTTCGCGGCTTCCGTCCACTTTAACTTCGGTGCCGTGTTCTTCGGTACCGGGATTCCGAGACAACCTGGATCGGTTTTCGTAGATGCGTGGTCGGTCCCGAATGCCTTCAGGTCGTCGAGCACACACTTCGGCCAGTTCTGTTCCTGTCCCCCCCTACGTCGCTTCTCCCCCCCTCCGCCAGTTTGCGAGCATCAGTCGTTTCGGGAGTCGCCCCTCCGGCTGCCTTGCCAATGCTCCCGCGAACAGTAGGCGTCGTTGTCGGATCGTGGCTTCAACGCTCTGGCATCCGACCCTCTTCAGCGTCTGGGCGTAGGAAAGCTGCCGGTAGGTTTATTTCTTGCGCTTGTACCCGATAACTCGAAGGAGCAGTCGGTGGTGTATCGACCGCAGCGTCTGGTAGTGACCGCTGAGTGGTGACCATGTCATGCAGCCGTACAGCAGTGCCTCCATCGCCTCCGCCTGGAGGAGGCCGATCTTGAGTCGGAATGGCGCTTTCGGTCTGTCAAAGAGCTCCCGGCCAAATCGCCTGAGGCACGCCCACGCTCCTCTGCTCCTGTAGTTGATCTCCCAGGCGAGGTCACCATGTTCGTTGACGAGGCCACCGAGGTACCGGAACTCGGTCGTCTGGGCGTATTTCTGTCCCGCGGCTTCGATGGTCAGCGGTGGAGGAGGCGGGGGGGGCTGTGGTGTTGTAGTCGGCTTGTCCTTCGCGCGCATCAGGGGTGTCTCCGTCTCCTTCTCCGATACCGTCAGCCCGAACTCCCTGAACACCTCAACGATGATGGTCATCATTCTCGCCACTCCTTCTGCAGACCTCGATACGACGCCGGCATCATCGGCATATAGCATCCCCCATACTGCCCTCCGTACTCGGTCAAGGGGTGTCTTCTCCGCCCCCCCCGCTTCCGTCTTCCCCTCCTCCAAGCACACCAGGCTCCGCCGAACAACATCATCCTCGCTGAATCGGATGACAACGATCTCGAGGACCTCGGCGAAGAAGATGTTAAACAGCAGTGGGGATAGCACACATCCTTGTCGCACGCCCTGTGTCACGAAGAACCAGTCCGATAGTTCTCCGTCGTCCATGCGCACCCGGGCCCGCATTCCATCGTGGAATTGGCGGATGATTTTGACCAGCTTCGCGGGAATCCCGGGCCTGGCCAGCACTTTCCATAGCATCTCTCGGTCCATCGAATCATACGCCTTCTTCAAGTCGACGAAGCACATGTAGAGCGGTATTTTCTTTCTTCGCCTCAGCTCCTGGAGGCGGCGCACGACGAACAGCATGTCGACGGTGGATCGCCCGGGTCGAAACCCGCACTGTTCCTCCGGGAGGATGTTGTTGGCTTCGCAGAAGGCGCTTAGACGGTTGGTGATGACCTTGATGGGGACCTTGCCTACGTGAGATAGTAGTGAAATCCCCCTGTAGCTGTTACAGTTGGACCGGTCACCCTTCTTGTACAGCACCTTGATGCTTGCATCCTTCCACTCTTGCGGAAAAAATATCCTCCGTTCCACACCTTTACGAGGATGGTATAGAGGTGCCCCAGGACGAAGGGTTCGTCGTCATCGATCTTGAGCAACTCGGCAGGGAGGGAGTTATGGCCGGGTGCCTTCCAGTTCTTGGGGCCTTTCGTTGCCCGTTTCACCTCCTCGAGTTCTGGCACCTCTCCCAACCGTTGAGTGTCACGTGTCGCTGGCCGCTGCGTCACTCGTTCGATGGTGTCTGGGTTCAGGGCAGGGGATTTTGTGTTGGGCAAGGTGCTGAAGAATCTCGCCCACCGCTGGAGGATGTCGTCCCTGTTCCGGAGCAACACGCCGTTCTCATCCGCGACGAACTGCTGTCCCCCCGCTTGTCTCCCGCTGAGGCCCACTGAGCTCTTGAGGTGTTCAGTCCTCGCATGTCGCGTTCTTTGTAGATTGCTTCGAGTTCAGTCACATATCCGTCCAGGTGGGCATAAATGCCCGTTTCGACTGCTGTAGCCACTCCCTTACACGCTGCTTTCAGAGTTCCAATTGCCCCTCATCGCTCGGCGCGCTTCCCGCCGTTTTGGTAAGGGCCTCCTCCAGCACTGCTCTCGTCTCTGGGGTCTCACACCACTCCTGCGTGCGGCGTCTCCGCGGTTCCTCCCCTAGGGTCGTCCGCGCTGCTTCGAGGAGAGCATTGGTAAAGTCGGTCGCCAATTCCGCGGCGGTGGTTGTTCGCTCGTCCAGTCGTGTGTCGAGGTTGAGGAGGAACTGATTAGTCACCGCACACCGTGCTGCTTCGAACTGCAATTCCCGTCGGATGAATTGCTTCTGTTTCGGTTTAGTCCGGACTGCACGGTTGTGGGCAAGCCTGCCACCGAGGTTGACGGTTGCTACTGCCATCTTGTGGTCTGAGTCTGCTTTGACTGGGCGAACCGGCTGGAGGATGACAACCACGTTAGATACTCGGCCGTGATATGCCCAGGATGTAGTCAAGGCGCTTGCAATCGGTTCCCGACACACCGTTGTATGTGTGCCATATTCCGCCCTTGCGTGTCTCAAAGAACGCGTGTTCGTGAGAGCTAGCCTGTTTTCCGTTGCGAAGTTCAACAGTAGCAGCATGCCATTGTCGTTGAGCTCATCACGCCCGTACATTCCTATTACCCTTCCGTCCCCTCCGTCCAACCTATCTCCCGTCCGCGCTTTGGCGTCCATCCAGGACATGCACACATTCTTTGGAAGGGATCCTCCGCACGAGACTGTCAAGTTTTCCGCAGAACACGCGCTTGCTGTCTGCGGTTGAAGGTTCGGTTGGAGCATACGCGGCTACGAAGTTGACCGCTCCACGGTGGCCTGCCAACCTAAACCTCATGGCCGTAAGGCGTTCGTCAATAAACTCCGTAGTGAACGTGGATGTCTTGCACAAGCAGTGACTCTTTGACGGCTATCCCCACACCATGGGCTCCAACAGTCTCCGTGCCACACACACAGACGGAAACCCGCTGATGCAAATTCCGTTCGACCTGCCCTCCGTGTCTCCTGCATTCCCACCACCGATACGTCTTGTCTCACTGCCTCGCGTAGAACGCTGCAGGCTCGCCCGTATCCATTGGCCCCGTTTACAGCCTCGCATGCATGTACATCATCATCAGTGAGTTCGAACGACCAAAAAACTGCTGCTGATGATGCTGCTGCTACTGCGTAGATGGTATGTGCCAGCGTGTCCCTACAAGTATACGTACGGCAGAGCCTCAACATACCGCAAAGAAGGGCTTTCTTGCGTCTGCCTCTGACTACTACTACTACTGCGCATGTGAATAAGCGTGACCTACAGGGCCAACGAAAGGGACGGTACACTCCTGCATGCATACGTGGTGCGCCAAGATGCGTAGTCGAACACGTTTGTGGCCGTTGTCGCGATGCGATCTGATTGGTCAGGACCCGCGCCGCTCTATCTCGTGTAGCCAATGGCCCAACCTAACTCAACAACAGGTTCAACGTTCAACGTTCAACTCCGTGCGCGAAAATTGTTTTTTTTTTCTTTTCCCTCCATGGTGAATCTCAGATCCGCCTCTTAGTCACGAATGAAGCGCGTCACAAAACAATCACACGCACGCACACCGCGACGCTCCCGCTCTGGCACACAACAACCCCTCCACGTCCCGCACTCAGTCAACGTGTCACTGAAACAGCTGGAGTTAGAACCCCAAAGGGTGTGCTTACCTACGACGCAGTATCCGCCCCGAAGACAAATGACAAGGCAGCAGGCACCAAGGCCCGGCAGGGCCATCGTGCTGCTGTCTGTCGCGGGGCTGGGCGGGCTTTGCGCCTCCTCCGTTGCCCCCGCTTCCGATGGCAGCGGGATCGCGAGCCATGGGTCCGGCGGGGGGGCAAACGACGCGGTGCGCAGGCAGGACACTTGGAGCCAGGAACGGTGAGAGATTTTCGACATGTTTTTTTCTCGTGGCGTGAACGATAGCAGCAGTCCCAGGCAGAGGGGTTGGCCCTCCTAGGCAGAGAGAGAGACGGAGAAAGAGAGTAGCAGGCACGGCGGTTTCTGCTGATGTCTTGCTGTGGGAGAAGGGGGGGCGGGGTAAGCTAGTAGCACGTGAGCGTTCCCAGCTTACCTTTCGCCCCGGGGAACCGATGGCCGCGTCCGCTTGGGCTCCGACTTTCTATGTGGTCGGGGTTGACACAGGAACAACGCCAATCGCTTAATATTTTCAGCATGTTCTTCCTGGTGTCACAGGGAATTAGAGCCGGTCAGGGCTGACCGCACTCTCGGCTCCACTCTTTGCCCCTCATCCCGCCCATCAATTTTGAAGGGAGACTTGCCTCCTTGCTGGGCGTGCTGCTGTGGTGGTCTGGCATGCCCACGCCTTTCGGTGTACGGTAGCAGCCGGCCGATTGTCTTTGACAACAGCAGCAAGAGTAGTGCAACATTGAGTACTTCTGTTCAGACCGAAATTCCCCGCAGCATACTGCCTACTGTCTATTGGAGGCGAATAGATGTCCACGTGGGCCATCTGCCTTCTGGCTATTATAATTCAACGAATACACAACAAGACCCGAGTGCTAAACCACCCGACCCGTGTTCCACGCCACCTCACCCCCCACCCCCCCCCCAACCCCCCACCCCGGCGCGCTATGTACCTCTCAGCGCACTCCACAGCAGCAGGGGCTCGCGGAGGCGGCCGCGCCCGGCACCCGTCCAGACGGGTGATGCCCAGCAGCAAAGGGCGGAGGAATCCGAGGTTAGGCTCGGCAGCGGCCTGGGCAGGAAGGGAATGTTCAATTCGTTCTCCCTGGGAGAGCATGAGCCGTCGTCGTACTACAACACGAGCCCTATTCCTGGAGGGGGGGTGCAACTCCAGCAGCAGCAACAGGACAGTAACGCCTTGACCGGCGGCGCCGCTGCTGGCTACAACCCGACTTGCTACAACGACGAGAGCAGCGGTAGTCGCGAGTTCTTCAATGATGACAACAGCGAGGAGCCGCTCGAAGAACAGCAACAACAACACCAGCAGGCACCATACTACGGCAGCATGGCCCCTGCCGCCAGCGGTGGCGGACGCGCCAGCCACTACTACCCCGGCCGCGGGCGAAACGCCGCCGAAAACCTGGCCGCCCAGCAGTTCCAAGGCTACAGCGCCGGGCGCTCCTCCTCCTCCTCCTACCGACACGAGCCGTTTTTCTTCAACGGCGAGAACCCGTACAGCGGCAGCGGCAGCAGCAGCAGCAGCAGCCGCAGCAACGGAAACCGCCGCCGCCGGGCGCGCGGGGGCGGGGTGGTGGCGGCGTCTGCCTTCCCGGCCATCTCCCCGGCGCTTGCCGCCACCGCCGCCGCCGCCGCCGCCGCAGCGCTCGGGAAGATC